TTGATGAATTTCGACTTAGGTATACAATCGTTATACAAGTTGCTTATCTGGCTACAAAGAGAAAGTGCTATTATCGATGAAGATGGGATGGGGAATAGGAGAGAAGATTTTTTTCTCTCTCCCGTATATACGTATAGTTGCGGATGCATATTTCTTTAATAGCACAACATATCCGAAAGATATTCAGAGGCTATTCAGAGGACATCCAGAGGCCATTCGAACATCCTCAGGATGTTCTCTAAACGTCTTCGGGATATGTGTGCTGTTATGGATCGTGCGTTTTATAAGTAATAAAGTGATGAGTTGATTTTACGGTTATAGAACTTTTCATCCTGGTCGGATAAATTATGAGAAGTGACATCTCGCGGGCACTCTATATCGCTGACAATCTGTCATTTAGACATATTACTCGAGAGACTCGAGGGTGTTGAGCGTTCATATATATACAGTCGCGTAACGATCGATCTGCGAGATGAAGTAATAAATTTGAAAGATTGACGCATTTGGGACGTGGAATTAATCCTTTGGAGCTTTATCGGTTCACGGCGATAATTGCTTGCAATTAAGTGCGGCAAGTTATCTCGCGCGCTTTTACGGCGCAGTTCAATCGCGCTATAATGGCGCTCGTTAACGATATCCCTATACGTGCTACAACAATCCCTCCTACAAAGATAACGCGCGCGAATCGTTATCGACTAATTAATCAGTTGTGAAAAAGTATACTATTCGCGATATGCAATTAGCCGAAGGATTAATGAAAAAGAAAAAATATATATATGTATATACGTACTACGTACATACTCGACCGTGTGATCGGGGAGAATATTATTTCCTTCTCGATTTAATAGGGTGGTTAATAGATTTTTTACTGAGAAAAAGAACGTCGCAAATTATCGATGTTTTGAAATTTTTTTTTTTTTAATATATTGAGATTTCAAAAATTTTGACAAAAGGTCATTTCTATAGAGATTTTTCATCAAATTTTTCAATATAATAAATCTAATTTTAATTTAATCAGAAATGTGTTTGGATTACATTAGAATTTTTCAAAGTGGAGAATCGATATCTCTCGAAAACTATAGATCGTAGCGTATTGTGGCTTATGGCATTCTTCTTCTGATAAAAAATCTTGATGAAAATGACCTGTCAAATTGAGGAGCTCCAAAAATATACCATTCCTGCGATTGTAGTTTGTGGTAGTTTTGAGACAATTGATTACCCAGAGTAGAGAGAATATTTTTCGACATTTAGAACTTATGGCGTGAAAAAAGAGAGAATATACAAGACGTAGACACAAGCTCATGTTAAAAGGAACGAGATTGTTCAAGCATCAACGATATATAGTTCCCGGAACCCGGGAATCGTCTTGTAAAGAAGAAAGTCTGGCTCTGTCGGCAATTACAGGTCTGTTCTTTTCAGCTGAACTAGCTACACTAGTTCAGAGTTCATCTTTTTCACTCCAATTGAAAGGAACCCAAACAACGTCACGTTTAAAAACGGGATATAAGATGTCGGGATTAAAGAAATCTTATTGATGCCTTAAAGACATATTTTGAACTTGATGTCTAAAATACATCTTTATTATTCCTTCAAATAAGCATGTGTGATTTTTTTTATTCAAACAAAGAGTGGAGTTTTTGTGACTGCGAATTATTTTATTAGAATTATTGGGAACTACCTTCAGTATCATCTATTAGCAAAATCTAAACAAACTTTTGATTCAAATTCAAATATTAAATTAACAAAATCTAAACAACTTTTGATCCAAACCCAAATATTGAAATTAAAACTTCGAATATATATTTTTTCTTCAAATAAGCATATGTGATTCCCTTTTGATTCAAACAAAGATTGGAGTTTTGTGATTGGATTATTTTATTAGAGATTGGGAGTTACTTTCATTATAACAAAATCCGAACTTCGTTCTTATTTAAACTTTTAATATGAAACCGTAGATGAAGCATTTTAATTCTATCAAATTAATGCGCAAAAGATTAAGTACGAAAAAATTAATTTTGATTAAAACAGATAATCGTGATAGAGATCCCCTTAAGACGTCTTATGTCCCGTTCAAGATTTTGCTATCTGGGGGGTCAATTCTGAACTAGTGCGCCGTTGAGCCATAAGCCAACAACCGTATATACGCAGCAGGCAACATAACTGGCGCTTTCTGCCAATCCGCGCAAACCTCCTCGCAATTGACACGTTCATTCCGTCCAACGCGGTGCACGCGCGCGTCGCGCGACGTTGGCACAATAGCGAGACGCACGATTTTATCGCTTGTTGAAAAAGCAAAGAGAGAAGATCATACGTATATTTATCTATAAGTCATCACATGCAACATACCTCCTTGCATCTACATATACCTTATTAATAAATTATTGTTGTTGCGTCTTGGGATTCAGGATTGGAGGAAACACCTTCGATTAAGGAGAGGAGAAAGCTTTCGACACAAAGATGTATCTAAATTCTACATAAAGATGTGCCTGCTAATGTCTCGCATTCGGGCATTCCCCTAACAGCACACCTATCCCGATGTTGTTGATGAGGTTTCGAGATCACGAGGATATTTGGAAATCTTCGATATTTCTGATA